GTTAACCCTTAAATGCATACCTTGGGTCTTTAGCGACCCGGGACATCATTCTCTACCCTCTCCCTCCTTAATTTTTAAAGTTAGACGTCAACTTTCTTAGTATTTCTCAATCTATTCATTATAAACAATATAACAAGAAAAAAAATAGTAAAATATAAAAGAATGCCAGTTTTCTGATTAATTTTTTGTTAAAAGTGTACAGGGTCGCTAGAGACCCGAGGTATGTAAATGTGTAAGTATTTTTTCCTGCGCAACTATATTTACATATCTGATGACTCAATATGTGCAATGCATCTTTTTTCCTCAAGGTGGCACTGTTTGATACACAATGATGACGTGACGTTTCACTCATAATTACCGCAGGCATAAAACAAACGAATATCATCAGCAAAATTGTAAGTGCTTTGAATGGCTTTACTGCAGAGCAATTACTATACACAATGAAATATAAATGTCACTGTCATTTGATGCTGGATGTGGTGAATAAGCTGCCAGTGATGAATGTACTGTGTAAGTGCGCTCTGACGATGACAGCGATGGTAGAATCATCTGCTCAAATTGAACCCTTTGAAGTTTCAAAAGGTAACGAAATATGCTTTATTTTATTCTTCTGTAATTGTTCTTAAAATATCAAGAGAGTTTTTTTTGCTATTGCAGCAGTTAAAGATCCATCCGTGCTGTATAGGTCCGGGTCACTAAAGACCCGAATATGTAATAATGATTGGCGAAACATTTAAGGGTTAATGGAGGTTTGAAAAAACAAAAAATGCACATGCAATTAAAATATGTAACTGATCGAACAAAAACAGTGGAGATCTGACAAAAACAGGTCTCAGAGAGGTGTTTATTACAAATTCAAATTAAAGCACATGGAGTTGGCAGAGTGCGAGGGTCGTGGCGGGATACGGATCCGTCACTCATGGTGCACCTCGGTGTCGGACAAACAAAAGAAGTGAGGAATATTTAACAGCAGCGGTCACTGTGATGATGAGGCCAGCACCAGTGAAGTGATCGCGGCCGCGCCTCTCGTTTCTCATGCCCGCTCCGTACGTGTGTCTGCTGGGCGGTGCTTTTCACGAGTGGAGATCGCTACTAGACGAATCATGTAATTTGTTATTTTTATTTTTATTATCTCAAGTCTTCTTTAATTATGTCGAGTCGAGTCGCAAGTCATCAAATTTGGGACTCGAGTCCGAGTCAAGTCTCGAGTCAAGTGACTCGAGTCCACACCCCTGATTCTTAGTTGTGTTTCCACAAAAAAGAAACAGGGAAGTAATAAATTAGTAATTTGACATGTTTACATGTCACCTTCCACACCCCAAAAAACAAAAAGTAAAGTTGGTGACTGTCATTGACATTCTTTTTTTCCAATCTTTAAGTTAAATTAGATTAACACTCACACATTAAGAGGAGTTAGTAAAGATAAAAAATATCAGATTTCAGCTGAAAGTTACTAATTAAAGATTTGTTACTAATTAAATATAACTTATATTAAATATAACTAAAATATAACACTGTACTGAACAAGCAACGGTAGTGGTAATGGTTGTCTACATTTCCTCCTGCTTTCTGAAGCTCAGGTGGCTTCTTCAAAGAAGTCTGTCCTACTCTGTGCTACTCTCAACTTTCACAGACAAGCCTGCGTAACTGTATTTCCTGCTTTTGGTTGCAAAGTTCACTAGAACAAAGTCACCACCTTACAGCTTTTTGTTCTCTGTTCACATGCTCTGAAATGTCAGTTCTATAGGTTTGTGACATTTACATTCTTCATATATACTTGTGAAATCAACTTACACGGCAAATGCCAGGATATGCAACTAAGAATGCCACATGAGGCTGAAAAACTAGATTATAGTTTCCAAGAAGCAGCTCCTAACTTTGTAGTTAACTTCAAATACCAACATTAACAAAGACTTTAGCATATTAAGAAAACACATGTTTGGTATAATGTAATATGTGATTTTTATAATCACAGATCTCTGAATATGAGGGGCACTTCCTGAATTTAAAGGGTTAGTTCACCCAAAAATGAAAATTAGGCTGCGTTTTACTCACCCCCGAGGCATCCTAGTTGTATATGACTTTCTTCTTTCAGACGAATCCAGTCGGAGTTATTTTAAAAATTGTCTTTGATCTTTCAAGCTGTTTAATGGCACTCAGCGGGTGTTGCATTGCTTCAGTCCAAAAGAAGTTAAATAAAAATCGCCCATCCATAAAAAAAAGTGTCTCACATGGCTCCGGGGGGTGAACAAAGGCCTTCTGTAGCGAATCGATGCGTTTTTGTAAGAAAAATATCCATATTCAAAACGTAATAATCACTTTAATCTAGCTTGCGCCAGCAGTTGTACACAGAAGCAGTTCCGGGCGGATGACGTATGAGGTCAGCGCTGCGCATGCGCTGGTGAGTATCGTGAAAACCAACGTTTGTTTACAGGATCAAAGGAAGCAAAGTTTCCTTACTTTAGCAAAGGAAAACCAGTCTCCTCTTGGCTTATATCGAAATCCTCTGACATTCTTCTTTACAAATCCTCGTTTTGTACTTCTAATTAGTGACCGTTGTTTTGTTTTGAACTCTCCCCTGCGTTTTCGCGTGCGTCACTTCTGAGCGGCGCATGTGCAAAGCCGACCTTATACGTCATCCGCCCAGAACTACTTCCAGTGTACAACAGTGAGCGCAAGCTAGATTCAAGTGATTATTTCATATACACCTAGGATGCCTCGGGGATGAGTAAAACGCAGCCTAATTTTCATTTTTGGGTGAGCTAACCCTTTAAGGCCAGAAAATTGTGCATATTTCCTTAATGCTGATACTGTAAGCATTAGAGATGGAGCATTTATTACTGACACTGAGCTCTGACCTAAAATCCTCACAGAGGCCAACATCTGTCCATTTATTAAAAGACAGAACTGTTAATGCCATTTTTAAGTGGACCACTTTTAATTTCCTCACTAGATAGACAGACAAAATCAGTGTTGGCCATGGGTGTCAGAAATGTATACAATAACAATAAGGCACATAAGTTTTAAATTAAAGTACAAGTTGGTGCCAGTGGAGTAAAAAGTAGTAAATTGGTTAAATGTGCCAACAAATTAAAATCATCACCTCTGCTTCCTCTTTTGTAAACTCCAGATTCTTGAGGCTCTGCCAGCCATTCAGTTCCCATTGAAACCTGTCGGATGTCACCTACAGGCAGAGATGTACATCATTTAAGTGTGTATCTGTGTATGTACTGGTGTATTTCAGAGCATCTTTCATCTATCCTCTCGGTGTGTATTATAGTGCACGTAGTAGTGCAACGGCAACATACTAAATGGCTGAGATTTGCAGTTTAAAACCGGAGCTCCCGAGTGACTTTATTTTCTGTAATGCACTGCGTCTATGTCCGGCTTAAAAAATGGCCATCCAGACATGATGTAAGACGTACATTGTGTAACTTTGCATAAGCAAATACAACAGTTTATTTAATAATATATGAAACAGTGCACAGTTCCATATATTATTTAAAACTGAGAATGCAGTATTCTGTATGTATAATGTATAGAGACAGTATGTATGTACCATAGTATGTTGTTCTGAATTGAGAGTACCTTATGTATATGAATTAGGACAGTAACAAAGAAGAAAACTGATAATAATTCTTACAGACCAGTCTTTTAAATTCAAACTGAAACATAGCAATCAAAATCATCCTGTACAGACACAATAATTATTTTTAATTAAAATGAGCATTAATTGTGTATACATTTTAAAAAATATTTTCAATTTTCTTTTTTTACTTTTTCATTTTTATATACATTTTCTAACTTAAAATCAGAAAGCTTTTATTTTGGTGGGTTGCTGGTAAGCAAGTATATGTGCTGGCAGTTTTAGCGCTGCCGAGTAAAGCGCGTCAGTGAATGAAATGTCACAGTTTTGCATTTTGCTCTGAAACCAGCAGTGCGTAGCCTAGATTTATGCGTTATATTCAAATGGAAATCTTATACAGTATTACAGTTAGTCGAATTAGTGCATTAACAGCTGTCAACCATGTTGGTACACAAATGAGTGGTCTGAACTTATTTACCCAGTGCATTTTTTATTTTGGTCATGCATGCTCACCTGTACACCACTTTATTTATATGTATTTTTCCTGATTAAATAAATGGAAATATACAGCAAAGAAAACTAGGGTTTCTCTGCTTCATTTTGAAAATAATGTTACAATGCAAACAAATGCTCATAGTCCTAAAATAGAGCTCATTTTCTTAATAAAAAATATAATTTCTTATAATAAACTACTTGAGGACATCAATAATAATTACATACAAGTAACTTAACTTAAATTAAGGTTTAAATTAACCATAAATAACATTTGAAAATCTGTTTACATGTAAATATTATTTATTTATTTTTTCATTCATCTTTTTTTATATTTGTAATGTCCAATTTCATCTTCTTACTGTGAGTTGGGGTCCGGTCTCTGCGACGCAGTCCGGTATTTCTCCCAGAATCCTCTTCCAGGAGGGGGAAGTACTGACCCCCCAGTACTTCCTGTTCTACATAATACCCCGGAGAATCCGAGCCAAACACACCAAACCCACCCCGATCCAGATCGTCCTCTCTAAATGAGTGAGAACAAGAAAGAAAAAAGGGGAACTGCACCGACATGCTAAATTAAACAGTTTTGCATACATCTTATATTTCATATGTGAATACCTGTGTCCGTAGACAGGGGAGAGAATAAAAACATCATGTCCCCCAGGTGTGTCCACTCCAGGGGAGAGGCCCATTGACCCAAGTGTGCTGGGTGGGGTGGGAGAACCACTGCAAGGACTGGTGGACAGTGGCTGTCAATTAAAAACATGCACAAAATAGCCTCAGTATGAAGCTAATGACACTTTGTTGATGTTATATTAATGCAATATAAAAGAATTACAAGAAAATCAGCTATTAGACCATACAAATACCAGACAAGTAAAAAACATTTTTTCAAATATAGTTGTACAGTATGTTAGTCTGGTGCAGTTAGTTTCACTAGAGGGCAGGACAGAGATCGGTCACACACACGTCTAAAGATCTTTGACTAATGGAGGACCAAGAAACGATGATAGTGTTGCCCTTAGCAACCATGAGCGCTGCATCAGTCAGTTAGCAATGAGGAAAAGCATAGCAACAAGCAGCAGATAGCAACCCAAGAGACAGGAGAATCATGTACATAAAAACGATTTATCATTAGCAGTTATCAGTGGGCATTGTTTTATTGCACACAAATATTTCAGTACAAATATGTTCTTTTATTCTTTAGTCATTTTATCCAGCTGTTCATTTATAGTGCCATGGGGGAGTCAAAAGTAAATATTTTTTAATTATATTATTTTTATATTAATTTAAATAATTATTATCAAACAATTATATTAATTTAGTAACATAAATATATCTTAGTGTAGGCTATATCTTTAGAGTTTTATAATTCATTATCTTCTTGTCGATCCACCAGTTCACATTTACAACTGTGTGTTTTCTGCGTAAAAATAAGGGTCGTTTTTGGCTTTGGTCTAAACAAAGAGCAGAAGGGCTTATTGAAAAATGCAAATTCATTCTCTGCCAGCAGGTGGCGCTTTTCGCCAGG